GCATGAACTCACAACAAATTACAGTATGACTTTATTCTGGCCCCCAAAAATAATTTGCCCCCATAAAAAAATTCAGCCCCCAAAAAATATTTCTTACTATTTTACTAATAAAAAATAAATTGAGATTTTTTTTGAAGCATTTAACATTTTTTAATAACTTTTTTAAAATTTATTTTAAAGTTAATTTGTTTTTTGTTGTTTTGAATCCACAAAATACTTTTGTGGGGCCAGCACTGATTGGCCAAGCAATCTCACGTGATCCTCTGCAGCAAGTGATGGAAAAGCGGGGCGTGTCAACATGACTTGACACAAATGTGTCTTTACCTCCACGGCAGAAGCTCCACCGAACCCCTGAGACCGGCTCATCGAACCCCTAGGGTTCGATCGAACCCAGGTTAAGAACCACTGTGCTAGAGTCAATAAATAAGCTGTTTCAAACACCTGCAAATTGTTACATCACAATCTGGGTGACCTTGCAACACTTAAGAAAGCCCAGCCCCTCACCTGGTAACCTGGAAGCGGTGACGCTGGGCTGCAGCACGGACCACCTTTCCCCCTCCACAACACCGGCCTTGGGAAGCAGCGATGGACGCGTATTGTCCTCCCCAGCACCAAGGCATCTGACATCAGTCGGACAATCTGTCCCTACCAAGCCCTCACCTGGGGGGGCTGCACTACGTGAAGCCCATCCACTACTGTTGTACCATTGTTCATCTGCTTGTATCTGAAGTTTTAACATAAATGCTGTGTAATGTAATGTAAACAAAAGGTTGGGCGGGCATTGCCAAAAGCATATTATTTGCATAAATTGCTAGTTYAGAAAGGAGTTCAGAACAGGCAGAACTGACCAGGTGAAATCTCCTCATCTGAAAACGATTTTGCGAATTAAATCTAATGAACATGTTTTGTATAGCCCATAGATGTAGCCTGACTTGCTCAAGGAACCATAACAGATCGTTTTTAAAGTAATATAATGATAATATAATCATATATCCCCCTCCACTGCACTTACGGAAGTTTACAAAATGACAAAAATACAAGGTCACTCTTGCATACGCTAAGGAGTAGAAAAGAGGGAAGCATAAAGAAAACAAACAAGCAGGCAAAATAAAAWTTTTGATCACATTTTCATTCATCATGCGATTAATTTGATTTATTGTTTATCACTTCAGGCCTAAACACTTGACGGATAAATAATACAGTACGAGAAATTAAACAGATTAAGTTATGCATTCTAAATGAGTATCTGTTGAAAAATGTGAAGTTGTCTCAGTAAGCAGGTGGGGGAAAGATGCTGCGATCAAATCAGCAGTGAAATATGATGCTGGGAACCTTTAAATCTTGGAGGTGTTTTGCTTCTCAGAAACAACACCCTTTGGTTCGTATCTTTGTGCAGAAGAATTTATATCCCCGGAGGATCCCAAACACGTCTCGGAGCTTTGTAAGAACTACTGGAAGACCGGCAAAGGACCACGGAGGACAAAGTATAATGGACTTTTCTCTAAAGTGACAGTTGACCTCAACCCCAGTGAACATTTATGAGGGTCTTAAACACAGAGCGAGCCACGCATTCCTGACATCACGAGAACATCTTTGGGACATTGTCAAACCACGCTAGGGAAACGTGGCTTTTGCACAAAGGTGAGTGACGCTGGCCTGGAAAAGCACTATTTCAAAACACTTAAACATCTGTCAGTAAACAAGAAACAAATCAGCGATAATTAGCAGTGAACTACAAATACAAAACTGAAATAAATGAACATAAATCAGAGTATAGATCATAAATAACAGCGCTCTGAAGAAATAACCTGAATAAAATGATTAGGTTGTGAAATGTACTTCTTCAATTTATTTAGTCAAATTTATTTCTAATAAAACAGATAAAAAAATCAACAAATAGTGTAGTAAAAAAGTGTAGTGGTGTAATATTACACCGTAAATTATAGTTAAAATAAAACTAGCTGCAGCACTTGTCCTGTATAATATATAGTGGTAAATGGCTGTTACCATTAGTTGGGTAGTTTTCAAATTGCCAAAGAGACAAGACAGCTCTGCTATGCTAAAGCTAGTGAGTTTCATTACAATTAATGCTTTAAAAATTGTAAAAAAATAAAAATAAAATAAAATAAACAACATAAAAACAGAAAAACCATTAGTTGGGTAGTTTTCAAATTGCCAAAGAGACAAGACAGCTCTGCTACGCTAAAGCTAGTGAGTTTCATTACAATTAATGCTTTAAAAATTGTAAAAAATAAAAATAAAATAAAATAAACAACATAAAAACAGAAAAAGCAGATGTTAGAATTCGGAGGAGTTTTTCACTTTAAGCACCACCACGCTCACTAACGTGCACTACAGTGATGAGTGGATGCAAAAGATCAGAAAAAGAAATACTCTTAAATAACAAAGAGCCTTTTATTTTAAAATGGAGGACTGGAAGTTTTTGTGTTTTAAGCCAGCATGACGGTATTTCTATTTGCCATAGATGGCCACAGACAGCATTGCAAATATACTGTAGTTCTGTTGTGAAAACAGTAACTAGTGGTGTTCCGACCGATCGGCCGCCGGTCAATATCGGCCGATTTTTGTGAAACAGCCTGCGCAGTGGGAAGAAATTGTGCAGGCGCATAGAGGGAGCAGATCATAAACAAAACATGTCGCCCATACGAGCGTGACAGTCAATCTGATCAGTATCGGTGATCGGCAGAATAAAACCTGATCGGAGCGTCCCTAACAGTAACACATCTATAAAACATTAAACACCACACTGATTTTCCAATGTGTGGACTGTTCCATCCAGAGAGAGTGGACTCACTTTTCTGCACAATCTATCATAAAGAAACAAACTCTAGTCTTATTCAAATACTTCTTACAGATCAAATTTACCAACACAAGACTTCTGCTGATGCTGCTGAAAGATTACCAACCATCAATGCTGAATCGTTCAGAAAACAGCTTCTAACCCTTTGTTACTGCCACGGTGAAGAAGTCGAGGTCCAAGTTTCAGAAAGATGAGTTGAGCTTTTTCTGTAAACCACAAGATCAAAGAGACATTTTAAAGAGGCACAACCATCTTAACTGGAGCTCCCTTTTAGTTTTTATTGATGTTATAGCAGCTCAGGAGAAACATTTATCATGTTTCAAAGTGAGATACGCCAACCCAGACATGAACATTAGTGCTTTCCACAAGACAACATGATCATTTGTATTTAAATGGGGAAGAAATCATGGTTACCAAGTCAAGAAGCAAATAAGTCACTGTGTGCTAAATGATACATGAAGCAAAAGCACCTACAGCCAACACTTACAGGAATCCAGAGCTTCTGGGTTTCGGTGGTAGAGAAAGAGACAATARTGGTATCACATCATTGTGATAGTGAAAATGACAGAAACAAGGTCAATAATAGCCTGAAATGACCTTTACCTAACTGAAAGCTGCCTTTTCTTTTTTTACAGGGACTTACACACCTGCTGAGGACACACACTCATCAGTGGATAACTCTGACCAGTCAGCTACCCCAACATGTGCTACTGAAATCAGAGTGAACAGCAGTAAAATCCCGGCTGAGGATTACAAACAGAGTTTCATTTCTAAAGTAACACTAGCGTCAGCAATGACTAAACATTTCCACTGCTCCCTCAACCTTTTCACAGACAAGAAAACTACAAGAAGAAGAAACTTTCTGAGGCTCCTGCAGGAGACAGACTTGTTTCAATCAAAACAAAACTACAAACCCGACAGTGCTGCTATTACTCTTTAACAGCAACGGTGACACCTGAGAACTGCAGGGGCACCTGCCGAGGAGGAAACAACTCAAAAAACAAACACAACTAACAACAGAACTCGTACATATTGCCTTTAATCATGCTACCAAGCTGTTGGATGCTAGAACGTGCAGATTTAAAACAACCAGTCAACATCACTTTAAATGTGATTTTGTTTCTTTTCATACAATCAATCAAGGTCTGTGTATTTGTTGGTCATTCAATTTTTGTTTTAAAAACAGATATTGAAAAACAAAAAAAGGGATGATTATTCTATTTTCATTTTACACTCCAAAGATGGGAAAACGGTTTTATTTTTCTCAAACAGGAACACTGTTGTTATCAGGCCATTTAAGGTGGAGCATGTTAAATAACTTTAATTCGTAAACTTTACTAATAACAGCCAGCTGCCTGTAAATAAATAAATAAATGCTAGCTAACGAAATTTGCATTTCTTTAACCCAATCAACTAACTAACCTCTATTTTTATTAATAAAGCTAGTCTAAATAATTTCTTAAAAAAACCCATCTAGCTCCACCTTATCTCAGTGGTGGATCTGATAATGGGATGAGTAAACACGTACTTTTCAGCCAACCAGGCAACAAAAACAAATGACCAATCGGTACACAGACCAATCAGGCCTCAGAAGCTGAATGATAAAAAGTAAAAACAATATATCTGATCACACCAACCCGCAGCTCTTAGTGAAATAAGAAGATATTTCATCCTACCTGAGGCAAACTTGTCTCCACTGCCAGAATCCCATTCCTATAAGACACAACGAGAAGGAAAGTTTTGAAACTTAGTGGAAGATTTCTTATACATTTCAAAATTTGCATAAAAAAGACATGAATTCTTCATGTGTCATACACTTATAAAGCCTTTTTCTTTAGGTTTTTTTGTATTTCACTGGCATTTCCTGCAAACATTTCTTTGTAGCAAAGGCATGAATCACCCCATACTGAATCTTGTCATAATGATTTCCTGTAAAGTGATCACTGAAGGCATTTTTACACAAACACAGATTCATTACTCATCACAAAGATTGGGATGAGACAAGGAATTTGTAAACAAAGGCAAAAGTTGATGATGAGGCGAAGATGCTAAAAGGGAAAACTTTTTGTAAACATCTTAAGAGTTTTTACCGTTCAGCTTTAATTCCACATGGAAACAGTTTTATGGAACGCAAATGGTAATTTTTGAAAATAGGGTTCCTTGTGTTTTTGTTTAGACAGTCACAACCTTTTGAAAATTATATTGCCCCTCCTCTAATCTGACCTAGAACTTGAGGGAATGCTTTTCTTCTAAGTGTTTACATTTTTAAACAAGTGAGCAGGTTTTATGCTCATGCTCCACACCTTGTTTCCTGTTTTTGCTGCAGTTTTGCTACAGCATCACATCCAGGCCTGGCATGGTTACAACAGTGTTTTGGGTTGTTTTTAGTGTTTCTGTGTAAATAATGTCTGGAATGAATGCAAAATTGCCTCGGATAATTTTTTAGGAACCAAAAATACAAAGTCTTCACAATAAAAGGCCGTAGGTGCACGTTTATTTCACTACACCAGCTCATTTGATTTCTGATAATAATAATATTAAAAAAACCATCTGTACAAATGATAAAATCATTAACAACATAACCATTTGAAAATTAAATTTTTTATAATGCCAGATTTTTATTTAAATCTGTACTTTTTTCTCTCGATTTGTCCGCCATTAYGGAAAAAAAAAAATCTCCGGTCAGCCTGCAATGCATTATGGGATATGGTGGGCCAAGAAGAATCCAACAAACCTGTCCCTCAAATCGGGGAAAAAGGAGGATGCATTTGTCAGCCGCATTGGAGGAGTCTTCAAATTTTGACAGCCTCCAGCGTGGCGCTGTGACGTAAGCAGATAAGAAATTTGACCTTCAGAGGACTCCGGAGAGCCCCTGATTTCTGACACAGCCTGAACCTCCGGTTTTCATTTAAAGATAATCTATTGACAGAAATAAGGCAATTACCAAGATTCTTTCAATAGGGTAGGTCGGAAAGATACATTTTCTTAAAAATATATATGTATATAAAAAAATATCCCCCACCCCTTCCTCCCCAGGTCTTACAGGCTGAATTCCGCCAGAGGCAGTTGCAAAAAAAAAGAAAAAAAAAGGTGGGAGAGCAGTGAAGCAGTTCCACCGAAGCAAATGAGATGTGAAGTTGTCAAAACATAGTTTTTATTTTTTTCTTTCTTCTTGTTCAAACAATTCAATACACTGGAAACACAAAGCAGGTGAAAGGCAAAGGTTTGAATCAGATCCCTCATTCTTCGGCAGTCAGGAAATGGGATCAGATGAATGAGGAGCAAGACATCCAAGACTTAAGATTCCACATTGTCTGAGATGGCTTTTAAATGTTTTCCATTATCCAGCCCCAACTTTGAAACCGGAGCTCCCTGGATGAGCACATCACCACAATGCATGTTAAATAAATTAATACCAGGAAGCTAAAGTCAGTAGAACCTGAACGAAATATTTGTTTTGTTTTGTACACAAGTATCCAAACCAGTCTGATGACATCTTGTAATATTTCTCACAACTGACCCATGAACAGCTAGTAAAACAGTTGGAACTTCCTCTTTCTGTTTGAAACTTTGTCCCAATCTTTGCACATTTTTTCATTTCAGGTTTATGACTTGGAGTGCAGAAAGTCTGCATCAAGTCCTAAAATGACAGTCACTGCCGGGACAGGCCACGCTAAGAGCAAGTGAATGCCTCACTGAAAGGGGAATCTCCCCTTTCTGAACAATACAACACTCATTAGTTCTTCAAACAGCCTTTAAAGGGCCCTCTTCTATGAAAAGGCAGATAAAAACAGCTGCTTTTTGTGCCCCGGCATTAGAAAGTTACTCTGTTTTCTGTGTATCTATTTGTATGTACATCTGTTACACTCTGTTAACAGTCCATCCAGGTGGGACGCAACAAAGACACAAAGGTGCAGGTAAATCTTAGACTTATAATAGTTTCCTAATCTCTTCATTCTACAATTCACTTTGATTTGTGAGTCAGCCCAAAGCTTGAGTAAACAGCCAAGCCCATGAAAGGAGTGAAACATTCAGTCAACTCTTTGGTCTCCCCGAAGTTTGTTTAAAGAGGTCCACCTATCTTTTCAACTCCAGGTTAATTAAAAAAATAAAAAATAAAACACTTGATTGGCAGACCCCAGTGTCCTCTTTGTGAAACGGTTTGTTTGGGGGTCTGTAAGAGTTTGCCCTCTCCCTTTATTCCTCCGCTAGCTTCACTTCCCAGATGTTCCAACACAAAGATCAGATTGACTTCTACATGCATGAAAATGTACAATCACACAGTGTCAACAGATGTTTCACATCATTAAAGCCTAAGGCCAGAACAAGCCAAAGCCAGAGATTCCTTTCTTGGTTTTCTGGTTATTTTCATTCGCTCAATAAAAGGAAATCGTTTCTAAAAATATACTTTTTTAAATGGAATCCACTATTATTTGTAACATTAGACTTTATTTGATAAACATTTATTTTAACTGTAAAACAAAGACTGTATAAAATACTGTAGCCTGTTTAGTTTCGTAAATTTTTAAAAATATATTTTAACATGGACGGAGCCATTTTATTTACATGCAAAGCATTCTGGGTAAATGATGATGTGGATAGGTCCTCGGTGCAAGGCTGCTAGCGAGCTATATCCACCCTGAAGGTTAATCTTGGACAATCTCTGACGATCGACTCTTAAATGAAACCAGAGAGCGTTGACAGAGAGAACAACAGAGCTGCTTCATGGAAGAAGAACCTCAGCTTAGCCCGTTAGCCTTCGCGCTAGCGCCAATGCTATATTGCCTTATATGTATTAGCTCGGCACTAGCGTGACAAACTAACAAGCTAAACTGAGGTCCTCCATCCATATTTTCAGTTGTAGGATTTTGCGTTCCCCTCTGTATCATGTGGATGGAGGATCTCAGTGACGAGAGGAGAATGTGTAGCGCTGAGCTAATACATATATATGGTGACAGTGTCGGGGCTAATGCTAAAGCTAACAGGCTAAGATGAGGTTCTTCTTCCATGAAGCAGCTCTGTTGTCCTCCATCCATATTTTCAGTTACAGACTGAGTCATTTCTACCTTCTCCTCTCTGTCAACGCTCTCTGGTTTCATTTAAGAGTCGATCATCAGATATTGTCCAAGATTAACCTTCAGGGTGGATATCGCTCGCTCACACCGATGACCTATCCATATCATCATTTACCCAGAATGCTTTGTGTGTAAATAAAATGGCCCCTTCCGTGTAATAGTTTAAAACTTTTAGTTTAAAAATTATAAAAACTAAACAGCCTACAGTATTTTTACAGTCTTTGTTTTACAGTTAAAATATTTGTTTATCAAATAAAGTCTAATGTCACAACTAATCATGGATCCCTTTAAAAATAAACATTGATAAAACATTTGACAATATTTATTTTACAGCGGTCCATTCTAATTTGATAGAGGGGTTTGAGACTATATAGCTGCGCAGAAACATTTTATTTACAAATTAATTAAAAGATGTCAACAAGGGAAGACTTGTCCATCCAGCCTCATGTGTTGGAGCCAGAGGAGAATGAAGACCACCAAATTGTAGTTGGTAAGTCCAGACCTTATTTGGCTGTTCCATTGCAAATAATTTTACTTAATAATTTAGAAAACATAGAGAATAAAGAAAAATTAACAGGTTTAAAAAACTATGACCCAAACAGAATATAAAGCACCAGAAGAGACCAAATTCACATTTTCTGCACTCCGAGAGACTCCAGGTCCACGACAAAATGTATGATGTGTCCCCTTTAATACCACCCAGGCTCCTCACCAGCTTCACTAAGGACATGAGGTCTGTGCTGACAGCCCAACCTGCTAACCTGTGTGACCTGTCTACACTCCCCCACCCCAACCCCTCCACAGTGGGTCATCTCTGCCAAGAGGAAGTGACACGGTCACAGAGGTGAAAGGTCGTCTCAGATGATGCATTTGAAATACGAGGGAACAAGATAGATGGTGACAGCTGCAAAGCAAACAACAAGCATTTTTTTTAAATAACAGCTCATCAAGTCATGGTGACAACATCTTTACATGTGTAAAAAAACTAATTTCTGGATCTATCACAGAAAAAAACAAAACTGTGAAATCAGTTTTGTGTTTGACCACTTCACACTATAAAACATAACATAAATGATATACTAACATGAAAATATACAGTAACATGTAGATTTTTCATGGTTAAAAGCAAAGGCCAGGAAATATTGTATTTATTGTGATGTTGGCAGATGATCTGGGTCTGTTCTGGTGCATCCTGCTAATGTTCGAGGGCCAGTCTAAGCTTCTTTGATGCAATTTCTGAGTAACCTTTGAGTGCGATAAAAAAGAAAACAYTTCTTAGTAGATCTGTGCTGTCATGAGACGTGCAAAAACCCGGTCTGCAACAAGATTTAATTACAGCAGGTCGCAGATAAAGTAATTTGCACACGAATGCCAGAAAACAAGGCTCATTAAAAAAGGTAAACAATAAAATTACACATGAACTTCTCACGTTGGGGCTGATCAGAGCTAATTTCCAGTGCAGACAAAAACTTTCAAAGTCCCACATGGCATAAATACCTAATAAAAAATAATATAGATTTMTGTAGCCTCAAACAAGTGTACCCATTTATTTTATTTTATTTTATTTCTATTTGTCAATACTGACTAGATCCAAACTGTTTTGGTATGAAGGAAGAAAGAAAGTTTGGTTTAAAACAA